ACACTCCGTCCCACCTTGAAAGTGGGAATTGGGAAATCTCTGGGTATGAGGGATGCCAACACTTCTGGGTAAGAGGATGTGGAGAAAGTTACAAAAGGAAAAATCAGCAGCAATTTCTGAGCGGGTGAAAAGTAGAGACTGGCTGAATGGACAGGGCTAGGCAAACCTGCCTGATGCTTTTAAGACCAAAGTATCCCACAGGCTATTATGGGAAATAGACATGAAACCTCCGGCTCTCCCAATTAACTCCTCTGTGTCCGCTCTACTATTTAAACCTTTGGCTATTCTGAACCACGGATTCTCAACCCTGTGTGAATATTATAGGTCTTGAGGGGCTTTAGAAAACAGCAATGCCTGCCACCTCTCCTTACTTTCTAAGATGGGGTCTGGGGTCCTGTACACTTTTTGTTTGTTTTAAACTTTTATTTAGAAAGAATTTCAAAATTAGGGGAAAACTGCCAGAAAAAGAACAGTACAAAGAACTTCACACCCATCTTTTACCCAGATTCTCTTATTCTTAACCGTTTGTCCCATTTGTTTTATTATTTGTTCTCTTGCTATATTCTCTATCTTATTTATAAAATAACGAAGATGTGTGTGTAGGAACGTAATGTTTGTAGAAGTATTATTTATAGTAGACCCAGAGTGGAAACAATCCAAATGCCTATTAATTGGTGAATATGATCACTAGTACCCATACAATGGTATACTAGTGCGTAATGAAAGGGAATGAATGAATGACATATGCTACAACAATTGATGAACCTCAAAACATGATGCTAAGATTTAGCATCTAAGTGAAAAAACCAGATGGAAATACATGTTGCATTGTTTCACTAACATGAAAAGTCTGACAAAGACAAATTTATAGAGACAGAAAGGAGATTAATGGTTGCTTGGCATGGGGGTGGGAACAGGGATTGACTACAAATGGATACAAAGGACAATGACAGAAATATCCTAAAACTAGATTATGGTTATGGTGCAACAACTCTGTAAGTTTACTAAAATATGTTGAATTGTATGCTTAGATGAATTTTATGATATGTAAATTATACTTCAATAAAGCTATACAAATTAAGAAGTTAACAAAATCAGACAGAAAGGAAGCAAGAACAGCAATCTGAGAAATGAAAATATAATTATACAACTTAATAGATGGGGAAAACTCTGGATTGGACAAACTGTTTAGTGGATTGGCAAACAAGAAAACATGATTAAGGAATTCACCAGGATACAGAGATAAAAAAATTTTAATAACATTTCAGAACATGGAGAGGCTTCCTTAATTCACCTAATAGCAGTTCCAGAAAAGTGAAAGGAGGTAATGGCAGAAAAACAATATTTGAACAGAAAATCATTGATAATTTTCCAGAATTAAAGAGAGCATAGGAGTCTTCAATAGAAAGTACACTCAATACCAATTAGAGAGTTATAATGAAACTGCCAAACATCAAAATAAACACATGCAAATGCCACCAAGAGAAAAGGCAGATTATCTACAAATAAGTGAAAATTTGATAGGCAGTAGGATTTTTACAAGCAGCAATTAGTACCTGACAGTAATAGAACACTACCAACACTGTGCCTTGGAAAAATAACTATTCAGAAGAATTTTATGGGCAAATTAACAACAGTGAGGACAAAATAAAGACATTTTCAAATGCACAAAGGATTTCTTCGCCCACCAGGACCCCTATAGAAAGAACATTAACAGATGAACTTCAGATAGAAGAAAACTGAACCATAAAAGAAGGCCATGGATTTAAGAAAAAAAAAAGCATAAAAGAATCAGCAAAATATCTGTAAATTTAATTAACTATAAAAATGATTTAAAATTTAAAAGGTAAAAACTTCTAGACAACAATGCCAAGATGGGAAAGGGAAGGGCTATTAAATGAGTGAGGTAAGCAAAGCTCTTTTTCAAGAATAAAGAATTACATGATAATTTTATTCACTTCAGTTTAGTCGCTCAGTCGTGTCCGACTATTTGAGACCCCATGGACTGCAGCACACCAGGCCTCCCCGTCCATCACTAACTCCTGGAGTTTACCCAAACTCATGTCCATTGAGTCAGTGATGCCATTCAACCATCTCATCCTCTGTCATCCCCTTCTCCTCCTGCCTTCAATCTTTCCCAGCATCAGGGTCTTTCCAAATGAGTCAGCTATTCGAATGAGGTGGCCAAAGTATTGGAGTTTCAGCTTCAACATCAGTCCATCCAATGAACACTTAGGACTGATCTCCTTTATGATGGGCTGGTTGGATCTCCTTGCAGCCCAAGGGACTCTCAAGAGTCTTATCCAACACCATAGTTCAGTTCAAAAGCATCAGTTCTTTGGTGCTCAGCTTTCTTTACAGTCCATCTCTCATATCCATACATGACTACTAGAAAAACCATAGCCTTGACTAGACGGACCTTTGTTGGCAGAGTAATGTCTCTGCTTTTTAATATGCTGTCTAGGTTGGTCATATTAGAAAAACTATAGTTAAATATGCATGTGAAAAACTAAATGTTGATAAGTATAGGAATAATGCCTAAAGCCCTCAAACCAACAGTGGAAAATGAGGGAATATAAATCATTTAACTAATCCCATAGAAAGCAGAGATGGAGAAAAAGGATGGTAAATGAAAAGCACAAAATATGATGGAAGAATAAGCCCCAATATATTAGTAATCACAGTAAATGCATATGGATTAAATTCACCTATCAGAGATACAACAAAGTAAAAGTTATAGAAACATTAAATATAAAGAGATGGAAAATACTATGTACAAACAACCAAAAGAAAGGTAGCATATCAATATTAAAAGGGTCTAATTTAAACAACTAGCATGGAAAATGATAAAGAGGGCACACCATAATAAAAATCAACTGTGATTTCTAATGCAGAATATACTTTGAGAAACACTGCCTACTATGCCGTAAGGATCGTGGATGCTTTCTTCACTGCTTTCTTCACAGTGCTGGGCAAATAATAATCATGCCAAAATATTAATGGGTGGAGTGACTACTATTACCACATTATATTCAAATGATCTGTTTATACATTTGTCATACCGCAAGGGCAGGGGCCCTATCTTTTTCGGTTGTATGCCATTAGTACTGAACACAGTGCCTGGCACATAGTCGTTGCTCAGTCACTAAGCCGTGTCCAACTCTTTGGACACGTCACACTCTGCAGCACATCAGGCTTCTCTGGCCTCCACTATCTCCTGGACTTGCTCAAATTCATGTCCACTGAGTCAGTGATGCTATCTATCTCATCCTCTGCTGCCCCCTTCTTTTGCCCTCAATCTTTCCCAGCATCAGGGTCTTTTCCAGTTAATAGGCCCTTCACATCAGGTGGCCAAAGTATTTGAGTTTCAGCATCAGTCCTTCCAGTGAATATTCAGGGTTGATTTCCTTTAGGATTGACTGGTTTGATCTCCTTGCTGTCCAAGGGACTCTGAAGAATCTTCTCCAGCACCACAATTCAAAAGCATCAATTTTTCAGTGCTCAGCCTTCTTGATGGTCCAACTCAGTAGGCACCCCATAAATTCAAACTGAGTTCAAGGTTCATCTCTTCCATAAAACTTCTCCTAACTGTTCTTGCCTAGAATGACTTAACCTTTGTTTCTACCTCTAGAGCACTCACAACTTGAAATATCCAATTTAGCAACTGATTACAGAGTAGTGTCTTTTCGTTTTCTCTCCAAAATTGTTTCTCCAAAAATATTTTAGTTTCTTTGAAGACAGATAAGATGCTTTATTCTGTGCCTAACACCTCAAATCAATACTTTTTGGGTCGACGTTACTATTTGGGAGACTGCAAATTAGACCAGCGGTGCCAAGCAGCATGTCCCAAGGCCTCCAAGGAGTATCTCCATTTCCCCTTTTCCACCCTTGACTCAAGAGATCACTGTTTGGATATAGGCTCATTTGCAAAAAATGTGGAGAAGTTAAGGGAAGGGCCTAAGAAGGCAGCTAGTGCCCAATTTCAGATCTCTGTGCTCTCTTTCTTCTGGTGAGATAGGGAGGAAAATGCCTGTGATCCCACAAAAAAAGTGGGTGTTGGAAGCGGGAGGAAGACAGTTGGGGAAGGAAGCACGTCCCATACACAGAACCTGGACCCGATGTTCTACTAGCAAGCATGTTATCAGGAATAATTATGAGATCAAAAGGAAACTCCAAGGCAAACAGCTAAATTCAGGCACTGGGGGACCTTGTATAAAAGACAGAGAGGGATGTTTTCCATCTACACGCCAGGCACAGGAGGGGTGCCTGTCACAAGGAACTCCTAATTGCGAAGCTGCAGGGAGCTAACAAAGGACAGGGTGACATCTTTTGCTGGTCTTTATAAGGAAGGCAGCACGGTCCCTAGAGGTTCAATCAGGACCCTGGGATGAGGTAGGAGAATGGGCTGGCTGACCTCCCAAGGTCTTTTGTAATCCCGTAATTAAATGGTGAATCGTTCACTTCCCCATTTACGCTCTGCACACGTCTGCAGCCAGTTTGATAGTAAGTCCCCTGGGCAGCCTTCCAGGTTTAGCATGGTGCCACGCAAGCTGCTGGCACTCAACAAATGACTCGAATATTTGCTGAATGGAGGAATAAATGAATCAAATATTTAAGTAGCCCACATGACCTCCTCCCCGCCGGTAAAGTACTGTGATTAATGAAATCACAACATTACAGACACGATCATTTTAGCAGAGCCTGCAAAGAAACACACATACACACCCCAGCACTGATTCAACTCGATTCACATTCCCACCCTGGGAGCACTGACCACCTGCTCGGCGTGCAAGCTGTAGGAGTTTTTTTGGCAAGGATCCTTTCAACTGCTCTAGGACGGTGCCTCCAGAAGGTCACCAAGATTTAAGGCCGCTTCCCTTCCGCTGGGCCTCCGAGACAAAGTTTCAGCTACGATTTTGCCTGGGCCTCCCTTGGGTGCGTCCGCACTCCCTTCCCTGCCCCGGGCGCATATCCCGCCAGCCCGCAGCGCCTCACCTTACCTTGGTGAGCTGGGCGATCTTCTTGCACATTTTCACGTGCATCTCAGGATCACAGTCCATTCTCCAGCCGGCGCCACCGCGGGCATCGGCTTTGGAGCCCGGGCAATTCCCGGGAGCGTGAATTTTGCTGTTCAGGGCAGAAGCCATCGCTGAAACGCGTACGGCACTCAAAAGGCTCTTGCTGGCTCGGGTTCTCGCAGCCCACGATGTGCACGTGCTTGCGCGCGTGGGCGTGTGCGCTTGTGGGCTTTCTCCGGAGAGGTGGCACTGCAGTCCCGCCGCTTGCACCGCCACCTGGCTCTTGCTCCCCCTGGGTGTCCTCCTCCCAGCTGCCCGAGCGTCCACCCTGTCCGCCCACCCCGCTCTCGCTCGCTCGCTGGCTCTGCGGGCACCCGCACCCTGCGGAGAGGCGCCGAGGACCCGCACGTGCTGCTCGTGATTCGCGCGCCGCTCCCGGGCCGGTGCGGGTCTCGTGTGCAATGAGCTTCCGAGATGAGGAGTTGCTGGCCTTGAAGAGGTTTTCACTGGCCCGGCGCCTCGTTCTGGGACACGTGGATGCAGCCGGGCTCCGGACTCAGCGGCAACGGCCCTCGCCGGTGGTAGGCACCCCAGGCCAAACAAGAAGAGCCGGCTTCAGCCTCGGGCACCTGGGGGCGTTTGATCTGGGGAGGGGGACCCTGGCGAAGTGCTGTGGGCGAACGGGTGGCGAGGGACGGGGCACCTTGACGGGTGCCCTCAAGCACCTACTCCGGAGCCTCCGAGCTCGGCGCTGAGGGCGGAGGTTGGAGGTTGGAGGTTGGGGGTTGGGGGGGTGGGCGGGGGCAGGATGCCGAGAGAGGGGCGGGGTGGGGAAAGCAAATTGCGGGGACGCAAGGAGATGGCGGGGACCCGGGCAAATGATTTGGGCCCCTGTCTAGGCTGAGGGTGGGAGCCTCCCTTCTCCCATTTTAAGGAGGAGCGTGGGTGTTGCGGGAGAATTGCCGGAGATTTACCAAAGGGAAGAAGCCAAAGGGGCTGCAGAGAAACTGGTGACCGAAATCTGGGAGGAGAAAGAGCAGGGTATGTAGCGAGGGACTGTGTGGTGTAGGGGCTCAGAGGAAAAGTCAAAGACGGGAGTAGAAAGGATGATAGCAGGTGTGGGAAGGAAGCAAAGAGGAACGGAATAGTAACTGGGTAACAGATGGAGCTGAAAGTCTAAATAAACAGTTCCCAGGGAAAGTGAAATGATTCATCCACACGCGTGGCCACCCGCCTCCCGGAACCAGAATCCTGTCGTCTTTCGCTTACCCTACAAGTGTGTTGTATCAGCAACCAAATATCATGAGCCACAAAGCCACTGATGATCTAATTTTCCACAGAGGTAAACAACTTTTGATAAAGTTCTGATCAAAAAGGCTATTTAGACCATCCCCTCCCCAATTCAATTAGAAAACAGAATGCCTGAAAACCAGAATCTCTACCAGGAAGCTGATGTAGACTCTTGGTGCTAATTTTAGATTCCAGAGTCAAAATCTCTGGAGATGAGGGTCCAGAGCCCACATTTTACGTGACTTTCCTACCTAATTCCATATTTAGAGTATTTTCTGCAGGGTTTTAATACATACTGAAATTTACAGGAATTCAACCAATTTGTTATTTCTAAGACACAACTTAGAAATATTTTAACTAATATTGTGTTGTGCCTGTTTCAGACACTTAGAATATTTCTATTCTAATTTCCTTAGTCTCGCCCCATCATGTTACAGTACATAGGCATGGCCAACCTGGGTCTTGGTTCCTAGTTTATGATCTTAGTTTCTCTCTGCAGGACAACCATCCCTTCCCCAATTCAGTTAGAAAACAGAATGCCTGAATCAGAATCTCTACCAGGAAGCTGATGTAGACTCTTAGATTACAGAGTCAGTATCTCTGAAGATGAGGCTCCAGAATCCACATTTTAAGCGAGCTTCCTACCTAATTCCATATTTAGAGTATTTTCTGCAGGGTTTTAATACATACTAAAATTTACAGGAATTCAACCACTTTGTAAACTAGAGGAAAAATAACCATTTTGATCAGAACTTTATCAAAAGTTATTTACCTCTGTGGAAAATTACATCATCAATGGCTTTGTGGCTTATGATAGTTGGTTGTTGATACAACACACCTGTAGGGATTCCCAGGTGGCTCAGTGGTAGTGAATCCACCTGCCAATGCAGGAGATGCAAGAGATACAGTTTCGATCCCTGGGTCAGGAAGATCCCCTGGAATAGGAAATGGCAGCCCACTCCAGTATTCTTGCTTGGAGAATTCTATAGACAGAGAAGCCTGGTGGGCTACAGTCCATGGCATCACAAAGAGTCAGACACAACTGTGCAAATAAGCATGGACACACAACACACTTGTAATGTAACTGCCACATTCATGATGAATTAGCCAATATGTGCAAGCATCTGAGTACTGCATTATGTCATAAAGTTCATCAAGCCAGAGCATTCCTATATTGAAATACATATTATTTAATTATATTGCTTTCCTTTTATTATACTGATAATATTTAAAATGTATCTACTAATTTGAAAAATTGTCTATGAATTTCAAGATAATAACATGAATGTTACAGAAAAGATGATACTGGGTGTGAAGAGGATTGAGAAACACTGCTCTCGATGATCTTATACAGACTACAGTTTATTAATACTCCTAATTCCAAGTTTTAGTTATTTAATAATGATCTTATTAAGTCTGGGGTATATTATACTTTCACCTTTATAGTGGAAGACAATGGGGAAAGCAGATTCCCTTATCAGGCTTTGTTGGATTGCAGTTAAGGTACCATGAGCTCATCTGTCTTGGAAAGAGTCCTTTGCAGTTTTCAGAGGTTTTCTAGCACTGTGGCTAGTAGGTCTTTTCACACTATCAGGAATGACATAGCAGAGGGGATTGAGTGCTTTGTCTAATACAAGGCATTTATTAGTCCACTAATGTGATCTTGGCATTGAACTGTGCTCTTTGCACATGTTCTCACCCCTACTTAGGCACTTATTATCCCATTCTCCAGTCTAGAGAATTGAAGCTAAGGGAGGCTAAGCACCCAATTTTATACAGCAAGTGAATGGGTCTGGGCTTCCCTGGTGGCTCAGACAGTAAAGACTCTGCAATGCAGGAGACCTGGGTGTGATCCCTGGGTTGGGAAGATCCCCTGGAGAAGGAAACGGCAATCCACTCCAGTATCTTTGCCTGGAAAATCTCATGGACAGAGGAGCCTGGCAGGCCCCAGTCCATGGGGTGGCAGAGGCAGACCCCAGTGAATATTCCACCCTAGAAGCACAGATAAAGAACATAGCTCCTAGCAAGCCGTTAACCAGGCATACTTGCCTCTAAACATTTCTAACAGAGCAAGCATGTATTGACTTTAGGAGTCCCCATCCTGCTAAGTCCTTCTTTCAACTTCAACCGTGGTTCTCATAACTGCATGTTCAGAAGTCAAGGCTGCCGCAGTAGACAGGACAACAAGACTGTGTATCCCAGGATTCAGGTGGTGTGGTCCTCCTACCTCCCTGGCACTGAATTCTAAATGTCTTAATCTTCACTAATTGACTTCTGTTTAAAAGTGGTTCAGTGAATTATGGGATTTGAGTTGTAAGGATTTCCTGTCCATGACATCTAGCATAGAGTGCCTGAATGGTAATTTAGTGTCTGAATAGAGTGTGGTAATTTGGAGGTTACCATTGCATCAGGAAAACTTTCTACACGACATTATACAACAGATCTTTGCACAGATGTGCAAGTAATTCCATAGGAGTAATTCCTGGGAAAACCTGACTTTAAAGAGTAAGCAAATTTTAAGTCTTGATATATTTTCTTATACTGTTCTTCAGAATAGTTATTCCAAATTACACTTATTAATAGTGCACAAAAATGTGTGTTTCCCATACCCTTACCAACACTGTTGCTAGTGATCTTGAAATAGCTTCTGATTTAAAAATGAAGAGTGTCTCCCCTCACCATTTGTTTGATTACTTGTATTTTACTAGTAAAATCAAATCAAAATTAGGGTTGTTAAAACACATTTCTACAAATTGATCGGTTGTTAGAATTTAACATTATTATTTTTTGAATTAAACTTTTTGTGCACTTGCTTTTGCCTGGCTTTCTTCCACATGTTGAAGTAACTTCCTAGACCAAGATGGAATTGCTACTGTGCAGGATACCACATAAGCAACCCAAAACTTAGATAACTTCTGTGTCTCTGTAATGCTCTGCATGATCAGAAACACAGTATATGTAACTCTGGGCACTTTACTTAGTTCCTTGTTCCTTCTTACACCAAACAAGTTTGACAGGGTGACTCCAGCCAATTGGATATTTTCTACTTTTCTGTGTTCTTTATTCTTCATCCTTTAAAAGCTTCCTGTCTTTTACATCATTTTATTCCACTTTATAAAGTGCTAAATTGTTTTCTTTAGTCATTTTTAACACTTTACAACATCTTTCTTTGTAGGGGCTTCTACCACTTTGCTTACCATACATATTACAAACATTTCCCCCAGTTAGTAGTTTATTTTAGCTTTCTTTAGCTTTTCTTATGCTTCTCAAATATTTTGAATTTTTATGTAAGATTTATTACCAGCAGATTTATGCTGGTATTTTCTCTTACATTTTCTGGCTTTTGCATCATGCTTAGAAAGGCCTTCCCCATCCAAGAGTATATTTTCCTAGCACTTTTTGGTTTCACTTTTTTTAAATGTTTACATTTTTAAATCTAGCTGGGATTATGTTGATACATGGAGTGAGGTTGGAATCCAAGCTTATGTTTTTCCAGATGGCTAAGCAGTTGTCTCAACAGGTATTGAATAATTCATCTTTACCACACTGATCATCTAAGTGCAACCTTAGGTGATTTTAGTAGAAATTTACTAAGGTAATGTTTTATCCTTTGCTTTGGAATTTTCTTCTTAATCAGTTAAGCAGCATGGGTAACTCTATCATAACTATTATTACTACTCATCTAAAAATAAAATCAGGCTTCCCTGGTGTCTCAGTGGTAAAGAATCTGTCTGCCAATGAAGGATACTCAGGTTCAATCCCTGGGTCGGGAAGATCCCCTGGAGAAGGAAATGGAAACCCACTTAAGTATTCTTGCCTGGGAAATCCCATGAACGGAGAAGCCTAGCAGGCTATGGTCCATGGGGTCCCAAAAGAGTCAAACATAACTGACCTACTAAACAACAAAAACAACAAAAAAATAAGATCACATTCTTGAATATTTCACTTAACTTCTTGACCTACAAGGCTAGTTTCCTTGCCCTGTCTTATTCCTACTTGATCTTTCAGACTAGTTTACATGTCCCTAAAATATGCTCTCAGGGCTTCACATTTCTGTTGTAGCCCTTATGTCATATTTTATTTTTAAAAGCTAAAGTTTGTTTTTCTTTAAAATATTCCCTCCCCCTTTTGAGGGGGGAATGCAAGAAATGAACATAGCTTAAATTGGCACTATCCTTGTATCCTGACACAAATTAACTAGTAGTAGGGTTTCATTAAAATTAACTTTATGTTTTCCTCTCCACAGGAGAGGAAAATAAAAACAACGCCTCCCCCCATCACAAAATGGCAACATTTGCACTGAGATTACAGTATCAAACAATTCTATGGAATACATTCGGAATAAAATGTTTTGTGGCAGAATTTTAGCCAGATTATGTTGGTGGCTCAGATGGTAAAGAATTTGCCTGCAGTGTAGGAGACCCAGGTTTGATCCCAGGTTGGGAAGATCCCCTGGAGAAGGGAA